ATCGATGGACTTCATTGGTCCTTTCCCAGCGAGTCTAGATCATAACTACCTCTGGGTAGTTATGTGCCATTTGTCAGAGGCGGGATTATTGTCAGAGTCAGGCAGACTGTCAGGGTCGGAACACTGTCAGGAGGCGGATGGAAGATGGATTGGGTTCTGTCTGAGTTGAGGTCGGAGGTGATGCAGAGGTCTGTTGGAGCGCGACGCGGATATGCAGGCGGAAATATGCGGTGTGTCCGGAAGCGCTGTTCAAGGTTAGCAGAGTGGGATCGCGGCCTCAGCGACTCAGGTGGAGCGCTGTGCCCTGAGCTTGACGTTTGGGGGAGATCCCATATTTACAGACTGACACTTACAGCGGACTTCAAACAAGACTTGCGAGCAGAGCGGACCTATAGGAGGAGCACAGACTCCGCAAGCACAGACTCAGAGGGGGGGAAGCCCCCTTTGCAGAAGGAGAGACTCAGACCAGACAGGGGGGGTACTCTAGTTGATTTCAGACTAAGGTCCCCGAAAGTATTTACAGGATATAAATAGGCAGGAGGGAAACACAGAAGGACCAGTCAGTCCGGCGTGGTCCGGTGCGGAAATAAGCGGGGATTGTCAAACTGAATGAAGGACAAGAGCCCGGGAAATGGGAGGCAATGAACTAAACAAAAGCGGATCAAGTGCCAATATTGACAGGTAATAAGAAGTGCATCAGCACATGGATCAAGTGCCAATATTGGCAAGTTAAGTGAATGAATGGATGAACAATATAGGCACTCGGCAAGGAATGAATGGTATGCTGCCGAGTGACAAGATGGCCAGAGAAAAGCGGAGGTCAGCGTGCAGCGCCGATACAAGTCCGCAAATAAGCGGGGTCGGTGCAGTGCCGACACAAGTCCGTGAAGGGACATGGAAATCAGCACGGTGCTGACAAGTCCGCAACAGAGGGTGGTCCGTCAGTGCCGTCACAAACAAGGGCAGCATGATGGCCAGCAAGGTCGGAGGGGAGTGTTGGCCTGACCACAGGGTGTGGAGGGCAACCAGGAGTGGCAGAGGTCCAGATGGGGGTGGAGGTCCGGATGCGGGCAGAAGTCCGGATGCAGGTGGAGGTCTGGATGCAGTGCATGGTTGATAGGGCAGGGGGCCAGACATCGGATTGGGGGCTGGTTAGATTGGGTTTCGGGTCGGTGGATTCGCCTATCGGCATTGATTCGCTGCTGATGGAGCCCCAGGATTTGTTGGTCGTGACACCATTTGACTTCACAGGTTCACTTGATACCTGTGAAAACCATGATCAACGCGCTAGAACTTGCGTATGAGTTCTTGAAAGGCATCGTGTGCCTTCACAGACTCCCAAGATCCATAGTGTCTGACAGAGACACTAAGTTTACATCCAGATTTTGGACAGAATTACACAGGTTACTCGGCATTTGTCTAAAAATGATGACCGCTTTCCATCCAGAAGGCAACAGACAAGCTGAACGAATGGTTCAGAGCATCATCCAAGTAATTTGCGCAGCTATTCGGCCAGATCAGCGTGACTGGGTACTAAAAGTCCCCCTTGCCGAGTTCACAATAAACTCGAGTGTGAATAAATCAACAGGGTATGCCCCTTTCGAACTTATCTATGGGACAATACCCCATATGACAGTGGAAGTTCCACTGACTAACCTCCCTGGAGTGGGTGCCTTCGCACAGAAAGTGTTAGATAACCTCCAGGGCACCCATGATGCAATAATAAAGAGTCGCGTTGAGCAATTGGTCCAAGCCAATCGGCATAGGCACCCAGATCTGCCTAAGCTGAAGGTAGGTGACTTTGCCTACTTGGCGGCCAAGGACCTCAACCTGCCTAAGGGAAGAGCAAAGAAACTCCTCCCCAAATATATTGGGCCATATGAGATCCTCGAAGCATTCGAGGATTCATCCAACTACACACTCAAGCTCCCTCTGGAGCTTCTCAATAGGGGTATTCACCCCAAGTTTCATGTTTCTCGCTTGGCCCCACACGAGCCAAATGACTCACTGCTATTCCCAGGTCAGGCTGCCCAAGTCTTCTACGACTTTGGTGAAGATCCTGAACGGGAATATCAGGTCCAGGAAATCCTGGACCATTCCTGGGACACTGGTGGTAGCCTGTGGTTCCACGTCAAATGGGGCCTGGGGGATCTCACATGGGAGCCTCTCACTCATTGCAACAAATTGGCTGCATTAGATGACTACCTATTGTTACATGGGGTCGATGCAGTAGAAAATTTGAATAAGGAAAGCAAATTTCCTTCTATTCCCACACGAGGGGCTAATAAAGTGCCCTGTCCTACTTGCTCCCAACGGACTACCTGCTTGGGAATAGTCTTACAGCCTAATGAAGGACAATTATGGTGCTAGTTGCCATATTTGGGTTTTGCCTCCGGGGTATGAACATTGTTCCCACGGACAAAACTTCATCCTTCTTCTTTTCCCCCATCATGTCTGAGCAAGTGCAAGAAAATTTTGGGAGGGAAATGCTGCCCGATGACGACTGTGGGCAAAGCCCACGATCGAACACCACCCCCATGGACACTGAGACCACGGGTCCCGCTTTAGACAGCATTCAACATACTTCAACGCCAGGTGCTGAGGCCCCCAGTGCTGCCAATATCCCTAATCCTACCCTGATACCAACAGTATCAGGGCATCCTTCCCCTGTGATGGATGTGCAAGCTACTGCAGCTTACACTGTGTCCAACCATCAGACAATGGGCCAGCAATTTTTCGTGGACTTGATGGTGCCAGGACAAGCGCTGCCGTTGCCATACTTTAACCCCAATCTCTGGGGTTACCACCCTTCCCTCCCTCGTGGAGCACCCACTCCTGAAGCAGCTCACCAGCCACATGCTACAATGTCAGGGTCTTTCCTGACTGAACTCCTTATGGATGCAAACACCCATGTTCAACATCTTGACAATGAACTGTCACAGTCTCGAGAAGGGACTCGATGTATCCAAGAAAAAACATAGGGCTCCATGAGGAACTCTTTAACATCAAGCTCGAGAACCAGCGTCTCACCAGTGAGTTGCAGGAGGTCTCGTTACACCGGGATTTCCTCCGACAAAAGTGCGACTTGCTGGAAAGGGACCTCGAGTCATTTGAAAAAGGTTGCAAGGAAGATGAGGCATCGCACCCTCGAAAAATCCCTCACACAGAAACGCATACCCAGAATGCCCCCATCAAGAGGGTGCATCGTGTAGACGACAACTCTTGTCCACACCCTGGACCAGCCAAACTGGCCCGTCCTCAAGTACCTGTTGCTGACCCAATGGTGAGCCATAGGATTCAATCTAATACATCCAATCCCGAGTCGGGAAAGATGTCAGAGTCCGCGCATCAGTTCGCACGTAAGAATCTCCCCGGGAAACTAGTCGTTGTAAAAGCTGGGGGGCCAACCCAGCTGGCAATAAGGCCTTATATACATGAGTTCCGCAACTCACAAGAGCGCGGCTACATTGGGAACACATGGTAGCCGATAGAGAAGCGACATGAAATAGGAGAATAGATCATGCGGATAAGGGGGCGATAGCGGGTGAGGGATGACGCGATAGCGGAAATAGCGCATTGAATACAGCCTGCGTTCTAACTACGGCAAATCACACGCAGATATCGGCTTACGGGTACTCAACCTATCCGGATAGGGGTCCGGGCCGGCCGGATAACCGTCCGTGCCCTGACAAAAGAGCAGGCACCGTGTCACCCCCTTGTCAGGGCACACACCCTGACTAGCCCGGACCCAGACCCGCATGCGTGCTCCGCCCCGCATGCTCCGCGTGCCGCATGCTCCGGGCCCGGTTCCCACTTCTCATGTGACTTCCGGGTGTCCCCGGAAGTTTTCGCCATATTGGGCCACTGTGGGAAAGTGAGAAGTTAACCTTCTTCTCACTTTCTTACCCACAGTAGGTTGTGCCTTAGGATAGGCTGTTTACACACAGGGCTGTGGGCTATAGAGAGAGGGGTCATGGGGACCCAGGGTCCATCCCCTGACACCCCTCCTACCACTCGAATATTCATGGTTCCGGCTACTAGCCAGAATCGTTCTCCTTCTCCTGGGACATGGAGAAACATACCCATCCCGGGTTCCTTCCGCACCAACGACTTTGTACATGGAGTTACCATTAGTGGCCAGAGGTGGCTAATTGTCAGGGCATGCCACTCCGCTCCATGCCGCTCCCTCCTGCTGCCCCTCTTTCCTTCTTCTCCCTCTTTCCTTTCTCCTTTGTCTTCTTTCTTTCCTTTCTTTCTTTATACGGACGACCTCTCCCCTCACCCATGTAGCACAGACATGTCCGGTGCCGAGTACCCCACATGGATACTGCACCACCAGATACACCGCGCACCTTCACTTGTACTTCTCCTCTTTGACACTCGGGACCGCCCATGGAGCCATCCGTGATAACCCGGCTCCACCCAGGCTGACATGGCACCCCCATGTGACCCGTTCCCACCTGTATATAAACCGAGCCGAAGCAGAACCGAAGAAGCAGCCTTCTTCTCACTACTGCTTCAGGCAAGTGTCTTACTTTAGTTTAGCTTAGTCTTTCATCCTAATGACAATCACTACTGCTTCAGCCTAAGAAGCCAGACAGGGATGCAAGCCTGAGTGAGGGCCGTTCGCTATACATTCCCGTCACTCCACCGCTGCCTGGGCCGCTAGCGCCGGGGGCTACGCTGCTACCCCCACCTCTCCTGTATCGTCCCTGACACTAATCACCACTGAAATAGGCCATCATCAATGGCGATGGGACAACTTCATACTCCCGTTCCTGATTACAGTGAACAGGTTTAAATTCCTGCTTGACCTCAAGTGGATCGACCAGCAGGTAGGGGTGGCTGGGGTTATCGATGATGCCCCAGGCGATGTTCGTGACCTTCATGCTCATTACTTTGAGCTGAAATTCGAGGGCAGAAGGAATCCTTCCGCAGATGACTTCGACAAGAGGTATGGGTACGTCCAAAGGACTCCCGAAATTCTCAACAAGGCAGGGATGAAGTACATCCTGCTGTCGTTGTGGAGGCATCATCCCTCCAATGAGGCAAGGGCTTGTAGGGCAGCCAATACGACCACCTTCAAATTCTCGAAACTGCATGTGGGCGACTACCCCATACCTCCTCCCCCTCCATCGTGGTCAGGGCACTTCGTGCCTGAACCAGCTCCACCTGCACCTCCACAAAAGACACGGGTTTCTCTCTCTCAATTAATGGATGGCAACTATGGCCATCTACCCGCTGCCATGCGCCCTCCCACCCCACTGCCTATCCCCGATGAGGACGAGGATATGAAGAGTGATGGCAAGGTGACTACAGGGTCAGTCAACGAGGCTGCCCCTCTTCCTGAACATCGTTTCCCTGCTGTGATCCGGTCTGAGACCGAGGCTGCTGTTGCTGGTCCTTCAGACCTTTCTAATGCTGCCATTTCGGCTACCACTGGCCCTTCCTCCAAGAAGGTTTAATCACCTTCTCTTCGTCAAGGTATATGTGCCTCATTTAACACAGAGGGGTTAATCACCCCCTGTTCTATCATCCGCTCTGGTGTGTCATTTGTACCGCTGAGGCCTAACTGCCTAACTGCCTCATTCATCATTTTTTTTGCTTTCTGCTCTGGGACCATTGTAACACAGTTCTGCAAAGGCCTAACAGCCTTTGCTTTGCTATGTTCTCCACCCCATTCTCTGGACTGTCATAATAACGGTTATGTGAAGGCTTGACGGCCTTCACTTCCTTAGTTCCTCTGATCCACTGAAACAGCAGGTCAGTGGAGACCTAACGGCCTCTACTTTATATATCTTTCTTTGGTCTGTCGAAACAACAAACCCATGGAGGCCTAACAGCCTCTGCTTTATATCTTTTCTTTGGTCTGTCGAAACAACAGACCCATGGAGGCCTAACAGCCTCTACTTTCACTTAATCCTGAAACCATCATAATAACGGTTTCGTCAAGGCCTAACAGCTATCGTTTTTTAATTCTTTCTTGAATAATTCTTGTAAAAAGTTTTGAGGGGAATGGCTTAATCGCCATTCCCCACTTTATATTAATTTCTTGACAACTTCTTGTTATACCTGCCTGTGCAATATTAATATCACAAGGGAGGAGAGTGTAAGGGATATAGGCCACATATGTCAGAGTCTGGAGATTATTGTCAGAGTCGGAAGTACTGTCAGAGACGGATAGAAGACGGATTGGGTTCTGTCTGAGTTGAGGTCGGAGGTGATGCAGAGGTCTGTTGGAGCGCGCGCGCAGATATGCAGGTGGAAATATGCGGCACATCCGGAAGTGCTGTTCAAGGTTAGCAGAGTGGGATCGCAGCCTCAGCGACTCAGGTGGAGCGCTGTGCCCTGAGCTTGACGTTTGGGGGAGATCCCATATTTACGGATTGACACTCACAGCGGACTTCAAACAAGACTTGCGGGCAGAGCGGACCTGTAGGAGGAGTGCGGACTCCGTGAGCACGAACTCAGAGGGGGGGGAAGCCCCCTTTGCAGAAGGAGGGACTCAGACCAGACAGGGGGGTACTCTAGTTGGTTTCAGACTGAGGTCCCCGAAAGTATTTACAAGGTATAAGTAGATAAGAGAAATCAAAAGAGGGACCGGTCGGTCTGGTGCAGAAATAAGCGGAGATGAGCGGGGACTTGTCAAACTAAACCAAGGACAAGAACCTGGGAAATGGGAGGCAAGGAATGAATAAAGTCAAAGCGGATCAAGTACCAATATTGACAGATTAAATGAATGAATAGGAAAGTGCAATAGCATGTGGATCAAATGCCAATATTGGGGTGAACATAATAAGCACTCGGCAAGGAATAAATGTTATGTTGCCAAGTGACAAAAATGGCCAGAGGACAAAAGTGGAGGTCAGCGCGCGGCGCCGATACAAGTCCGCAAATAAGCAGGGTCGGTGCGGTGCTGACACAAGTCCGCGAACAGAGGTTGATCTGTCAGCACTGTCACACAAGGACAGCATGAAGGCCAACAGAGGTACAGAGGGGAGTGGGAGTGTTGACCTGACCAGAGGTGTCAAGGGCAACCAGAAGTGGGCAGAGGGTGCAGAGATGGGCAGAGGGCATGGAGTGGGCAGAGGGTGCGGAATGCACGGAAGCGGGGCATGGCTGTGACCACATAGCAGGAAGCAATGAGTGTGGTTCAGATGGAGACAAGGTGTCATATCCGTGCATACCCGATCCCGACCCGACTTCCAGACCTCCTCCTTCCCCACCTCTGGAGTCCTACCCTACCGCTGCCCATTCCGATACTCACCTTTGGTCCTGGCAACACACCTCCTTCTACCTCCCATGCCACCTCTACTCCTCCTTCCCTCTCCTCCCCTATCTCCGTCCGCTCCGATACTCACCTCAGACCGAACACCGCCCCTCTCGCCACCCTCCTACTACTACTCCTCCTACACCTCTGCTCCTCCCCCACAAAACCTCCACCCTTCCGCCATCCTCCTACGCTCCTCCCGTCCGCTCCAATACTCACCTTCGGACCTGACAACTCCCCTTTTCGCCACTCCTTCCCTCTTCCCTTTCTCCTCTCTCTCCCCTCTGGTACTCTCCCACCGACCTCCCGCCAAGTTACGACCTTCCACCACTGTCCCATACTTCATACTCGGGCACTGATCGTACCTTTGCTCCGAGCCTCCGTCATAGTCCCTACCTCGGACTTTGACTCCACCTCGGTCTTAGTCCATTGCATTGGTGACCTCATACTACGTAAACACCATTGCCAATATTCCTCAGACTTTCAACCCTGCCTCCGTAAGCTCCGTAAGCTCCGCAACCTCCGAGCTTCACGGATCATCTTCAGCACTCTCACCGCTTGTAATGTATTTCTCGCATTTCTCCCTCATCCCTATTTGGACTGCTGCTTCTTCCCATTCTAGCCAGTTAGTCATCATCCCCACTTCTCACCATCCTCCTGCCCCTCTGGGCCTCACCCTCCCTACCTCCTTTTGGATGTATCACAGGTTCGGTCTTATGACCTTCGGTACCACTCCGCTTCTGTCTACCCTTTGTTCCCGTTCGGACGTCTTCATTCCGTTTCGGATCCCCTTTGTTTCCTTGTGCTTTTGCCCCCTCCATTATATATATCGGCGCTTGTACATACTCATTTTGGCCTCAGTCCGAAATCGACCTGAAATGCCCCCTAGAGACTTCCTGCTTGCCTACTGTGAAATTAAGGACCAAATGGACAAACAGCAATGGCACAGCGCTCTGCTTGAGTCGCTGAGGCCAAGGTCCCTCCACGCTAAGTCTCCGATTCCACTCCGGGATCATCCGCCCTCGCTCAGTTCTAACACAAGGCTGGCATAGGAACTGGAGGGACTGAATGCTGGGAGCGCCAAGGGCTTGGGAACTGGAGGTAAGGTCAGAATGCCGGCAGGGTCTAGGTTCTGATTATTGGCCAAGTCTCACACAATAAGGCAGGGGGCCAGACACTGGGTTGGGGCTGGTTAGGATGGGTTTCGGGTCGGCAGATTCGCCTATCGGCATTGGTTCGCCACTGATGGAGTCCCGGGATTTGTCAGTTGTGACAATATACTCGTGGCCTACCTTATTCATTCTTCATTCTTTATTTATCGCTGAAGGAGCGGAGCTGGATCACCTTATGTAACCAGTTTCCTACGTCCAATAACGATATTAGAGTTTGTGCTGATTTGTGTACTGACCGTGTTTTGGTTGCCAAATATATGATTGTTCACTGTCTAAACAACAATAAACACCCCCCAACGATCTCACCTGACATATAGATCGTCTACGGATAAAATTTTATATTGACTTTACTATGATTTCTAGTCAATATTACACCTAGATATACCACTTTTCAGTAGGATGTGATTTTCCTGATAATTTACTGAAGGAAGACTACTAATAAAATAATTCCACAATAAATGTTACTCAATACAGGAGTGACCAAACTGCTCTTTCTATCGCTTAGAGTGCGTGCTAGTTATCTAGCAGGTTCAGGATCACTCACTTTTCTCCTGTGGTGTGATAACCAAGTATTGCTGAGAGATTATTCAATTAAGAAGTCCCTCCACCAAATTCTCACTAATTCTCACTATGACACTTTTGTTCAGCTGTGTCTAACTGACCCTAACTCACGCTTAGAGTGACGTGTTAGTTTTATATTAGCTAACAACTAATATTTGCTTTTATCTTTTGGAGCAAACGAACCAACCACTGGTGAGGAGAATTAAACTTTTATTTCTACCTGAGGTTTGAGAGGGGGCAGAAGCGGCGGCCTTTTATGCTTTTCAGAGGCCTCTCTACTCCCACGCCTCGCACTAGTTACATGTGCTACATTTGTATTATAGATAGTTCTAGAATGATATAGGGGCTTGGGCTGTGTAAGCTTAATAATGGACTTAGGACATGACTCAGCAATAAGTAATTCATTTCTTTGTCTTTTGGGCCGATCTTAGCGGGATATTGTAGCGCTGAAGCTATGCTCTACACCGCCTTAATTACGAACGGTTATCTTTAGGAATGACTCGGCTATAAAGGAACTTTCTAGACTGTTCTCTAATTGACCCCTTTTTGTGAAGCCACATCATTACTAATGTTCTAGAGCCTTCCCAATTCATTAACCGATCCGCGGACTTCTGAATCACTTCATGCTTATGATCCGAGATCCAGATCATCAATCATTCCTTTGTTCCGATTTATTTGAGCTTAAAATCAAAAGGTTTTGATGAATCATGGGAAAATATACAAGATCCGGTTTTTTAGCATTTTCTCCTCTTCTGATGCGATCAAAAACTGTCCGCCCGCGCCGGGGAATACTCTGTCATATGGTATTCGGTCCGCCAGACTTCTGGGCGCCAATATATTTCCCTTGAGTCACATTACTTTTTGTAAGAATTAGCAAATAAATATATATGAATTATAAGGTGTTTCGCCGTTTGAGCAATATCTCCGTCAGTTTTGAAGCTTTTAGAATGAAACAAAACCGTGGATAAAGTTAAGAAACAGTTCTTTCAGATGGTAAAAAGATTACAGTCAAAAGTTTACTGGTTCCCGAGATATTCACATTTCTTTCCCAATGTTCCTTCTTATTCTGCCGTCTATGTGCTATTTTCTTGTTGTAGGGATATATTCTTTGAATATTACACCTATGCCAGGTTCTAGGCATGCTTGTAGTAGATTAAATCTCATGCTACATGGGTGTAGATAATTTATAATGATCTTCTAATGTCTGTCCAGTCTCATAAAGATCATGAGATCTGTTAAACGTCTGAACTTGTCACCTGTTCGTTGACTATTCTGATAGATCATTGTTTTATTCTTTGAATATTATTTCTCCTACATCGCATTGGGTTTGTACCCGATGCAACACTTCTATTCCCGAACCCTTCATTTCTACCATGCGGTCCCAAGCCACAACTATCACATGTATATACAATATTGTATTTAACCTACATGCAAGGGGGGTAAAGGCTTCCCCAGCCTTTTACCCCCCATTGATAAATACAGCTTCATACAGTGTACTTCAGTGGACTGGGAGTGTAAGGCAAAACCTGACTATCGCGAGATCACTTGCGAACTCAACCTTTAACAACACTTACAACCTTGGACAACCATTATGTGGGCCTTTATAGGGGGACCTCAGGATGTTGTCACAGGGATTTGCCGGTGTACCATAAATGAGCCAAATCCCGCGATTCTACTACCCTCAGCAAGCACCTCACATCCATCACATGTAGCCTATATCCCCTCACACTCCTTACACACTTTCCTATTTTTCCTTATTTTTCTGATTCCATTTCCAGTGGCTAGAGCCCAATGTTTCCACTTCCTTATCATCATGTGTGTCATATCCATCCCCGGCCATCGACTTCCGATCCCTCTGATCCCTCCAATTATTCCTGCTCCTTCTCCACTAACCTCAGAGCTCCCGTATTCCGCAACTCCCTCAGTACCCCTCGATGGTCACCACCCCCTCCTTTCAATTTATTACCTACGCCTCCCTAAGTACAGAGCCCCAAAGACTTCCGGACAGCTCCGACGTCCGCTAGCGCACTCCCGCCTCCGCTGGGCAATACACTCGCCTGCCCTGCAGAGCCCACCTTCGGGCCTATCCCTCCTTTCCATTTCTGGGTTATCGCCTGCCTTTCCGTTAACCCTGTAACCCGACTTGTCGGTAATATTCAGTCAGCTAATGTTTAACCCCGTTAGCTCCACTCCGTTCGGCTCCGCCATTTGCGGACCCGTCTTCGCTGTAACCATATATATATCCAGCTTGTACATAGGTTACACTTCAGTAATAAAATCGACTACAGTCATTCACCCCTCAATGAGACACACCCCCCAATGATAAATCACCACATAACTTCCGAGCCCCCCCCACCCTTTGTGATGAGATTTGGCATGTATATAAGTCATTGCTAGGACTACTTATGTACCGAGTTTGATGTCAAGCGGGCAAGAAGTAAAGGAAAAAATCGAGGAAACATAGGGAACTTGGGTGTGAGGAGTCGCCATGCTTGCAACTTAACCACTCCAGTTTCATTGCTCTCTTCATCTTACCAATAGCTAGCCAGACAGCTAGTGAGCAAAAGGCCAGTGTTACACGTGCCAGTATTTGTTTGTTTTGATGAGACATGGAACCTAAGTCGGAAGCATGTTTTCATCCGTTACCCGAACAATCTGTAAATTAAATCACCATTCCCACATCCCCCGACCCCAATATTGCTTTGCTTGCTTCTTTTGACAAATGGTCCGGCATGCCAACTCTTTGGAGCGCCGTAGGCAGCTTGCAGCTGAAGCAGCAGAGCTGCACATGTGGAACACCGTCATTTCATATAGATCTCAGGTCCTGGATGCAACACAAAATCACAAAAAAGCTCCCAGCACCAGGGAACATGCTTCTAATTGTGATGTTTCCTATTCTACATTCATGCGGAGGCTGAGTGGTGGGAAAAGTCAGCTCAAGGCCTCAATAAACCGGTCATGGCTGAATCAGATTGAGAGTGACACCCTGGTGGAATTCCTTCTCCTTATGTCTGACCATGGATTCCCTGCTACCCGTGATCGTGTGAAGGAATATGCCTTGGAAGTTGCCCAGATACGCCACCCAAACCTTACTGGGCTCGGTAAAAATTGGGTTGACAGCTTTCTAGTACGCAACAAAAACCGACTTGATGCCAAGTGGAGTACCAACCTTGAAAGTATTCGGGGTGGTGCTGTAAATCCTGCAGCTGTGCGACACTGGTTCCAGCTGTTACAAGCTCAGTATGACCATTTCAAATTTAGACGTGAGGATATCTACGCAATGGATGAAAGCGGCTTCCCATTTGGGACAGGACAAAAGGCCAAAGTCATTGCACGCAAGATGACAAAAATAGCACACATTCAATGTGATGGGAACCACGAGAATGTGAGCGTGATTGTAACTGTCTGTGCAGATGGCACTTCAGTGCCTCCAGTCGTCATCTTTAAAGGGCAGAATGTGAACTCCAAGTGGTTGAAGGACAATCCTTTGGAGGCCGCGTGAGTTTCTTATCCATAATATCACTGCACATGCTTATACTTCCACTTTCTAGGGTCACTGTCTCAGAGAAAGGGTGGACAGACAATGAGATTGGCCTTGATTGGCTTCAAACTCTTAATGCTGCTACACAGGGAAAAGCCGCTGGCCACCCCCGTCTTCTCATAGTGGATGGACATAACTCACACTACAGCCTTGACTTTATAACCTATGCATGCAACCACAATATTGTCGTTATATGTTATCCTGCACACACAACTCATGTCCTTCAAGGACTTGATGTCGTCATATTCTCCCTCTTGAAGTGGAGCTTCTCTAAACAATGGGACGCATTCAACTTGCAGAATTACCCCAAAAAACTGAACAAGTCATCATTCTTATTGGTCTTTGGCCATGCATGGATGGAGGCCATGAACTCAACTCACATTATCACCAGTTTCCGAGTGACTGGTGTCTACCCTGTTAATCCATCCATCATCCACCCTGAACAACTTGCTCCAAGCATTGAACATTCCACCCGGGGAGACCTTCCCCTCCCTGTGACCTCACCTGTTAAGCGCATTATGCACTTTCATGGTCAGCTGATGGCCCGTGTGTACCAGCGCGATGATACCCCCTCACCGATGGATGACTCGCAGGATGTTCAGATGTACCTAGGGGGTCATGATGGAACATACAGCAAAGTGGATAATAATGAGTGTGACGGACCGATCATTAATCCCTTATTGTTTGCTGTGTCTCAGACAACACATGTCCGCACGCCACCGCAACCTTCTGGCTCAGATGCTGCAACAGTCAACGCTTGTTGTCAAACTCCTACCTTCCCTCCTTCCTACTCTCAGGCAAAGAAGCGCGCTGTTGATGACCTGGAACATATCATGTCATTCTCCTCATCCTCAAATTCTATCGTATCTTCCTCACCTCTTTGTTCAACCTTCAAACTACCCGAACGCGCATATGGGCACCTCAGCGATCTTCCTCCTATCAATTGGGATCTGATACATGATCACAACTCAGAGCACAAGACTCACCCTGAATTGATGAAGGAGATCAACGAAATGCGACACGAGTTTTGGAAGGCAAAGACACTGGTAGAAAGAGCCGTTAATGTGGTGGATGCAGCAAATGCCCAGTTGGCATTGGGAGGAATGTATGTGTCTAAATCACAGACACAACTTCTAGCACGGGAGGAATTGGAAAAGTCAAAAGAGAAAGAGGAAGGTGGACGTATCAAGGGAACGTTCGGCCGCGTTGTGACACATGAAGGTTTTCTGAGGGATCAAGCTGAGCACACTCAATGGAGGCTGGATGAGGCCGAGCTGGAGAAGCTGAAGGAGGAGGCCAAGGAGGGATGGAGAAAGTTCAATGAGACACAGAAAGCAGAGGTGGCGAAATGGCGAGAGGAAAAAGCGCGCTTAGTTGCGCTCAAACAAAGAGTGCCGGCAAAGCCATCGGAAATCCGAATGAGGGGTTGGATGGCTCAGAATTATCCACAGCTCCAGCAGAACAAGCCCCCTGCAATGCTGGAGGTGCCAGGGTGTGCTGAACAAGTGGCTGATGGGGTCAGCGGGGGTCCAACATGAGCGTGCGAATGCACTGTCACACTCTGTCACAGGATACCACTGAGGGGTGAAAGTGCCCATTTCATACTCACTCCCATACTCACTTCATGACAGGACTCCACTCAAAATATTGCCGGCCACTGATTCATATTTACGTTCTTCATGTTATTCAAATTTATCAATTTTTTTCATGGAACTTCGTTACACTGAGGCCCGGATTAGTGAAATCCGCACCATTGGGGGGTGAATCACTGTAGAGTTTACCCTCTTCAGTTCTGGTGGCCAGTTAGTAAGTTAGGGCATGGACGTGTTTACTAGGCACAGCGCTCCTGGCATAAGTCGCTGAGGCCGAAGCCCTCCGTCATGGAGACACTCCTTCATCTCGACCCGGTCTCTGACAATGTGATGCTCTTTCCTTATTTGTTTTATCAGACTCTTCCGGGACCTGCTGTACAGTTTGGTAGAGAGTTATCAGCACCAGACTCGACTGGACCAATATACCCATTCAGACCTGACCCTCAATGAGATCCTTATCCCCCCTCTTTCCTGTTGTGAGTCTAGTTGGATAGACCTGTTACAACAATTGCATGGGGCCTAAAAGGCCTTTTTCACTATAAACATCCTAGGACATCCTGGCCATTCAGTTTCATTCATTTGTTGCAAATGTCCTCAAATGTCCTAATTCAGTTTGATTCAATGGTTGCAAATTGTCCCAGAATGCCATACTCATCCATCCCATGGTCTGTGCACATGCTGACCACTGTCTAGAGGAATGTCAACACTGTTTCCCACAGTCTGAACACACTTTACATAGTTGAATAGCCCCTTTGAATAGCTTCCAGAATATATATTTTGAGACTGAATTGACCAATAAATTATTGAGAAAAACGCAAAATACTGGATGTGTGGTGGCTGTCCAACTTATTTAATGTCTGTGCACAATGCTGGTCACTGTCTGAAGGGGTGTCAGCACTGTTTCCCATGGCCCCAACACATTTTACACAGATAGATAGCCCTTTGAATAGCTTTCAGAATATATATTTTGAGACTGAATTGACCAATAAATTATCGAGAAAAATACAATACTTTTTTGGACACGAGTCTTTGGGTTAGTGTGGCTGTTCAACTCAATGTCTGTGCACAATGCTGGCCACTGTCTGAAGGGGTGTCAACACTGTTTCCCACGGCCCCAACACACTTTACGCAGATGGATAGCCCCTTTGAATAGCTTCCAGAATATATATTTTGAGACTGAATTGACCAACAAATCATTGAGAAAAACACAAAATACTTTTTGTCTTTTGGGTTAGTGTGGCTATCCACCTCATGTCTGTGCACAGTGCTGGTCATTGTCCAGAGGGGTGTCCAGACTGTTTCCCATGGTGTCAACACACTTTGCATAGTTGGATAGCCCCTTCAAATAGCTTCCAGAATATACTAAATTGACAAGCAAGTTATTGAGAAAAATGCAAAATACTTTTTTGGATATGAGTCTTTGGGATATCAGTGACCCGAAAATTTCAATGACTTTGATGACTGTCAGTGAAATTTAGTGGCCCAACCACTATCCCAAAGACTCACATCCAAAAAAGTATTTTGCATTTTTCTCAATAACTTGCTTGTCAATTTAGTCTCAAATTATATATTCTGGAAGCTATTTGAAGGGGCTATCCAACTATGCAAAGTGTGTTGACACTGTGGGAAACAGTCTGGACACCCCTCCAGACAATGATCAGCACTGTGCACAGCCACACTAACCCAAAAGACTCGCATCCAAAAAAGTATTTTGCATTTTTCTCGATGATTTATTGGTCAATTCAGTCTCAAAATATATATTCTGGAAGCTATTCAAAGGGGCTATCCATCTGCGTAAAGTGTGTTGGGGCCGTGGGAAACAGTGTTGACACCCCTTCAGACAGTGGCCAGCATTGTGCACAGACAGTTGAGCAGCCTGAGGATTGTCATGGGAAATCAGATTCAATTGCGGCATTATGTTTTGAATGTCTACTGTAAGGAGTGGTAACCCTGCCCCTTATTTCCCATTACACAATTGTATAATCATCTTGTATTAAACATGTATATACAAAGTACATACAATAGTGTGGGAAAGTGGAAAGAGCAACTTAGCCTTTCCTCCCATACTGTTGCAAATAATAACTTCATACAAGTTACTTTTGTTGGCAGCCTGAGGAACTAGGCTAACCAGGGTTGGCACCTACACCAACCCCTTACCTCTACCCTGAATAATACAAATTTGATTGAATTACAGAAGCATTTGATTGAATTAATGAATCATCCCAGGACATCCACTAGTAAATACCCCCTTTTAGGCCCATTTGAAGGCCAAACAGCCCCCCCTCTATAGACCATCATGAGATGGCTGACTAGGCTGTGTAAGGAATGGTGGTGGTTTATATTATTCCTTCTTTATTCATTGTTGTACCTCCTGTATTTACTTATGTATTGTCTGGAGTTGAGTGAAGGGACTTCACTCTTCCCCTCATCATGTCAAAATACAAGTTCTACACAACCCACATTCCAACCGTCCCGAGAACTGAAGAGGCACCAAGGTCAGCACCTACACTGACCTTACACTGTACTCCAACAGGGCTATCCAACTATGCAAAGAATGTTGACACCATGAGAAACAGTGCTGACACCCCTGTCAGGGCATACACCCTGACCTAGCCCACACCCGCACTCGCACCCGCATCCGCATGCACACCCGGCCGTTGCACCTCCCGCGTGTGCCCTGTGCCGGACGCTCCATGCGGCCGGATGCCCCGGGCCCCAGGTCTCGGGCCTCATGTGACTTCCGGATATCTCCGGAAGTTTTCGATTATATTGGGCCACTGTGGGAAGGTGAGAAGTTAGCTTCCTTCTCACCTTCTTACCCACAGCAGGCAAGTTGTACACTACTTGCCTTTTATCTATTCACCTTCTTACCCACAGCAGTGTGCCCTGGACAGGGCTGTGTCCCTTTAGGTTGTGGGCCATGGGGGGGGTCATGGGGACCCATGAGACGTCCCCTGACAACCCCTTCAGACAGTGTGTCAGGGCAACTGCACCTGACCATACAACTGTCAGGGACAGCTCTGAAAGTGGTGAGGTCCCGGTGTGCAGGACTCAGTGGGATGAATAGCAGCTATGCGTAGCAGCGATCCCATCGTGGGGTGAGCATCCCCAACCACTTAGTCTGAAGTGGGAATGTGAGAAGAAGGCTACTTCTTTGGTTCCCACTCCAGCTGTTATTATATACATGCGGGGTTGATCACATGGGGTGTGCCACATCACCCTCACACACAGCCATGGCTCTCCAGGTGTCTCTGTGGGAGATCCCGAGAGGGTCCATTGCAGGTGCAGGGTGAGTGCAGTGGTGATGACGGCGATATAGGGATGGTAAGATACAGGAGGGGAAATGGGCATGCACCCCGGTGATACATTGAGCAGCGGGAAAGGTGGTCCATGTAAGAGAGAGAAAGAAAGGAAGAAGAAAGAAAGAGGGAGGGAGGAAGATGTGGTGCAGAGCAGGGAAGCGGAGCAGGGAAGTGGAGTGGGGGTCAGGCGGGGCATGTCGGGGTGTGCCCTGACAACAACCCCAGAACCACCTTCCCTAACCTCCCCCACTTCCCTCATCTTCCCATCTTTACATATCTCTCACAACTACAGCCTGCATGCAAACCCGCAGGAAAAATCAGGTTGGCTTCTACCCATAGTCACATTATGAACTGTACAGTACATTTCCCTTTTATAGCAGCCAAGCAGGGAATAGGGAAACTTACCCTTCTTCTCAACTCACTCCCTGCTTAGTCCTTTCAGTGAGTTTGAGGAGCTGAGGACAGGGTCTAGCACCCAGGCACCCAGGCACCCAGAACATTGCACACACCCAGCCCTGAGGCTGGGCTGTCCTCTAGTGAGGACTGAGCCCTGACACAGTGGCTGTAAGGAAGGGGTGTGTCATATCCATACAATCCCGACCTCCGCTCCGGGCTCCTGGAACTCCGAACTCCGACTTCTGGAGCCCTATTTCCCTTCCATCACTTTCTCCTTGCCGACTCCCAAGAGGTTATCCCACCTCCGGCTCGGACACCACCTTCGGTCCGACTCCGGAACATTCCGGGTCCAACCCCAACCTCGACACCTTCCAGACGAGCACGCAAAACCTATGCTCCTGACTCCGGACCTCCGCTCCGGTATCCCGTTCACGTCTCGTCTCCGGAACCTCCGGTCTTAGCTCCGACCTCGGACTTTGACCCCACCTCCGCTTATACCCATTGTATTGGTTAGCTCATTCCATTTAATTACCTTTGCCAATATTCCGGAGTTTAACCTCCGAGTTCGGACTTTCCGGACTTACTCCGGACCTTGCAACTATTGCATTGTCCATTTCAATTCCGCTATTCTCCCTCATTCCTATTTGGGCTGCTGCTTCCTTTCTATTCAGTCAGCTAGCCATTCCCCACTCCCAACCTCCTTCCTTCCTCCTTGGGCCTTGGCCCTTCATTCCTCCTTTGGGAAACACCATTGAGTCAAACACTTGACCCTTGGTGTTGTTCCTCTTTCCATCTCCCTTTGTCTCCTTTCGTCCTACCCTTGTTCCTTTTGATTCCGGACCCCTCCTTATATACAATGTACCTAGTAACTTGTAACCTCAGTCCGAAATCGACTGGAATTCCCCCCCAAGAGACTTTCCCTCTGCTAGATCCGAAATTAGGGACCCCCAGGACAACCAGCAATGGCACAGCGCTCCACCTGAGTCGCTGAGGCCGAGGTCCTTCCATGCTAAGTCTCCGATTCCATTCCGGAGTCGTCCGAATCCCCGCATTCTAACAGGGTGGTGATTTACTTATTCCTTTATTATTCCTTGTTGTACTTTTGTATTTACATATGTATGGTGCGGAGTTGGGTAAAGGGTTCTTTACTCTTCTCCACACCAAGTTGAATACTAAGTTCTATACAACTTAGATATCAACTGACCTGAGGACTGAAGAGGCACCAAGGTCGGCACCTACACCAACCTTACAGTGGCCCAACTGTCTATACATATGTTAGATGCAGCACATAACATTTATAGGTGATAACACAAAGGGATGTGTGGCATAAGGACAAAGTTGGGAGGCAAAGGGCATCAGAGCACAATCCCCAACATGACAAGGGGGGTGCAAAGGAGTGGCCAGAATAGGAAATTTGTACATGTGGTCTCAGGAACCTTAATGCATAATATATGGACATTCTGGGAGTTGAACTGCAGAGCCCTGCATAGAGTGTGTTACCATTACACTAAATGCCCACATTACAGTGGTTTTGTGAGAAAGTGGCAGTCAAAAAGTGAAAGGGTATTGAACCCTTTCGTAAAAAATTGATTGACAAAATGGGTAAATATTCGGGATTTTTATTTTCAATTCTGTGGCACAGTCGCAAACTGAATAACTGGGGTCTGGACTATACTTCATAGAGGCTGGTAACCTGCCAAGGTCAGAAAACCTGCAAAACCCCTCTGAGATGAGTGCAAAAGGAAATATACATGTGATCATGGCTGAACAAAAAATTGATTTAGAAACCAGCCAACGACCATTGCCTACATGTGACATTATTATGTAATAAATATTCATTGCATGCGGTCTCATCATCCCCTCCCTGTTATTCCCCAACCCAACCCAATTACCAAACTAAAATTATTAATTACCATTACAGCACTTGTGTATTGTAGAACATGCTTGGAATAGGGTTTGTTTAGTGCAGTTAGTGTAGCATTGCTTATCAGTGTTATATATACATTGAAGTCATCCTTGTGCAATAACTGTGGCAAAAAAAAAATCCACCAAGAATGAATTGAACCTGCACAAGCAGGGGAGGGGGGAGACAGGCTCATACACAGTGCTATAATCCACTAGACCAAGTAGACCTCACATGGATCCGGTCCTAAAAGTAATATATAAAGTGTTAATTTCAGCCATGGATCCGGGGTTGATCACGAAGTCAAAAGCCACCCAATGTACATTTTTCATGACATTGATCACCCCTTGGAATTGAAGTTTTTCATCTTAAAAGTTTTCTAAGGGAGAAAAAAAAGAAACACCATCCAGGACTCAAATCAAGACCCATCCACACACAGGATTGAAGAGGACCCGGCACCAGCCACTAAGCCAAACCACCATCACTAGGGACCTTGACCAAACCATATATATGTACAGTTAAACTGGCCTCACAATTCCCTCACCCCCCTTCATCCACTATTTTTTTCTTACTGCACGTGTAAGGGATGGGTGGTGGAGTGGTGGTGCGCGCTTTGCATGCTTACTTTATTTGTTCTTTATTCTTTGTATACAATGTAAACAACTGTATTTACATATGTATGGCTCGGGCTCGGGTAAAGGGTTCCAAGGGGGGTCACTTAGGGAAATATCTCACCCGATGTCCCTTTTCAGGTTTCAGCGGCTTTGGAAGGACCCCCCTCCCTATTCAATTCATTCGGGGACTGCCGAGATACGGCAGTTGCCATTTTCTAAATTTAGTTAATCCAACGTGTTTTCCTTGCACTTGGGAATACCCCTGCTTAAAGCATGGATTCATGCAGGAAAAAGGTAATTTACCAAGTACATACTCCAAAGGGACTTGCGGGATGACATTCCTATTTAGACCTGTGAAAAACTTTCCATTCAATATTCCGAAGTTTGTCCCAAGTGTGGAGAAAACATACTTTTAGGTCTAGGTGGGTCAACAAATATGTTGAACCACATTGGGAAGACACGGTGCCATGAAGCCCAAGAGGCAAAGAGAAAGAAAGCAAAATCTACCGCACAAGCTGCATTAATGGAATTATTTTTCAAGAAAAAGCAACCCGTCCGTCCAACTGTCACCCCACCCACTCTAGTCAATACCCACCCAGCTGAGGGCTTAATGTCATCCATGACATCAGAGTGTAATACCCAAGTATCACCCAACCCATCAAACGAAGCAGTGCTACCTCCCTTGCCCTTGTCACGGCTCAAGGATATTGCTTTACACCTCCCTGACACCATCCCACTGGCCATTCCCTCTGATAGCATTGCAACTCTCACTGGAGATCCCGAAGAAATGGTGTCAAATCGACAGTTGGAAGACCCTGATGAAGACCCCTATGAATGGTTAGACAAAGCTCTCAATGGTATTTGTGGCGAATATGCAAGACAAAAAGGGCTCCTACCACTAGCAATAAAAAGAGGGCCAATGGGATTACCTGGGCTGTGTCTCACACTCCAGTACTTTGTTGGAAATAACCTAGTGCCAGAGGCCCTATTAGAGACACGCATTAACAATCTAATACATGAGGCCGAGAAATTGTGCGTTACCATTTTTCTCCCTATGCACGCAAGCTAGGAGTATGGATTAACTGAGCTGTAGGATACCTATTGATGCAATTATGGGTCCTTCACAAGAAACAATTAACATGCCTGGTAGTAGCCAATCTTCACATCCGGAACATGCAGCACAGCAGTGGCCACACCCCCCGGAGCGCAACTTGGATGAGGACCAACCACTCCAGATAATTAAGCAAGTCTGGCCATGCCGAGGTATCAAGATAGAGTTTCCTGACGGGAAGAGTCCCTGTGCTGAATGGCCATGGGAGGAGCAGGCAGAGCTATCAATGTCATGGGATGTCCACATTCAGGGTGGCATACTCACGGTGTATGCCCCAAGCTGCTCAAAGTCAACAACTCAGGCAAGCGGACAGTGCCAGAATTGCAGGACACTCCAAAATAATCAAAGACTCTGCCGCATCCGGAGCCGCATTAACCACGGCATTGCAGAAACTACCCCATACAAATACCTCAGTACATCAAGGCTGATTGAGGTTCTTCGGCGAAAGGATCGTCAGCTTGACTCCCTCAAACTACACCGCCTTAACAGTAACCAAAAGCTTGGCTTACTCACAAGTTCAAACTTGGATTACAGGCGATTTGTTATGGCAGTGAGCGAGTGTAGTGCTCCTCGCATCAATCATCTTGTTCACTCTGCACTGCGAAAGAAGCATGGGATCAATGAAATCATTCGACTTATTGGAAGAGCTGCAATGGGAACTTACAAGCCCCGATATACAGAAGAAGAACACCTGATGAGTGTTGTGCTCTATCGCCTCGGGGGTGCTCGGGTAGCGGAGTTTGCACATGCCGCACTCGGAACACCAGGTCTGACTGTAACACGACGGCACTGCACTACATCAATCCTTGCATCACCAGCCTTCCCAACTCTAGATGAACTCACATCAAATATTGCATCAGCATATTCGATTGACGCTCCATCTGGCAGTCGGGTCACAGGCCTCATCTGTATGGTTGATGAGATAAAGGTCGAGGAAACATTGGACTGGTGCTCACGTACCAACAGTGTCATTGGATTGTGTCGCGAACACTCACAACCTATGGCACATGTCTTCAACAACATTGATGATGCACATCTCATATTTGATGACTTGGCCAACAAGAAGGTCCACTTTGGTACTGAGGTACGTCAACAGTGGAAAGCCTCAGACATACAGGAACTCAATCAGAAACAATAGGCCACAGTCGCAGCAATAGGAGCACTCACCAGGAAACATCGTGAATACATTGCACGCCCCTTCCTAATCAGTGCCACATGTAAGGGTGAAGATGCAAGTAAACATGCAGAACTTCTTCACGTTGCACTGAGAGCTTGTAGCCGAAAAATGGACACAACAAAGGGAAGGGTGTACTGCATTGCATCCGATGGTGAATCCAGACGGGGAAAAGCCCTTGTCTCCCTAACAGAGCGCTTCCTGCTTTCACCATTGTCCCCCCTCTATGTGCACTTAGGTGGTCTTCCCCTCTTAAATCTCATGGTGGGAGAAGATGAGATAACATCCGACAAAGACTACAAACATGTGATGAAACGACTTCGACATACACACCTCCGTACCAGTGGTGTCTCAATTGGCCGAGTCCAAATAACACCTGCAGTCCTGCGATCCCATCTAGAGGCCAACGGATGTTCTATTGCCCGGATCAACAACCTACTGAATGCAACAGATAAGCAAGATGTAACAACAATGCTGAACTTAATGCAACTTATCTGGTCGCTACCACCACCGCTTCCCACTGACAAACCAGTCCTTCAAGAAACCTGTATTGCACTTAATCAGCACTCAAAGCTCTTACGATATCTGATCCTTCCCTATATAAACATAGAACTTAGCCTCTATGAACAACTCAAGTTCCTCAGTGCAGCCGCACACCTCACATATATTCTTTTCACTCACCAAAATGCTCGCTCTTCATTCCTTCCCTTGCCGCTCTACCGTGACATCCAGATCATGGTAAAAAATGTCTACTTCTGCGTCGCAAAGGCCAAACGGGATAATCCTGATGGGGAATTTTTCATAATTTTGCTGGGCACTGATCGGCTGGAATGGATCTTTGGCCTCATTCGGTCTCAAAATGGAAGTGATGTGAATGTTAGCACTTACAGTCTCTCTGGAAGAACCTCCGGTGCTGTGGAGTGCCATTCGATCCTTTCACAACGGCCAGAATGGGACCGGGGTCCTTGCCGACTTCGGCTCCAAGGAGTGAGCGGGGGCGCCGGGTTTGAGCAGAAAGTGGATCATCTAAATCCAGCATCGTGGAAGGGAGACGTACAAGTGTCTGGTATACAACTCGCATCGGCATGGAAGGCAGGCCGGTACCTTATTGAAAGTGACCATGAGCTTGCACCGTTCGAGCCAGTGGAGAAATTGGCCAGATGCGAGTCAAGTCTGGGTGCTGACCTGCTGAATCCATTTGGGACAGACGCCTATGAAGAGGTGGAAAGTGAGGAGATACTTGATCCAATGCCACAGCAGCCTCAGCAGTGCACATCGACTTCGCCTATGCCGTCGTCACTGGAGCTTGAGGAACTTGTTGACAGCGAACACAGCCGTCAGAATGGGCTCGAAAGCACAGTGGAAGTGGCAGATGGGAAGCATGTACACAAGGCAAAGGTTTTGCGTGAATTTACACGATATACAAGAACATCAAACTCAACTGACCGTTTGAGACGAGTTGCAAACATATCCCGCTTTGCGCCATCCTTCTCAATGCCAAACCACCACATTGGAGATGATTCAATCACAGAGACAGAACACATCTTGATTCAAGATGTGGTTGCGGTGCTCTTGCGGTGCGAAGGTGTCCCATTCCTGGGTGTGGCGCAAGTGAACTCAATCAAGATTGACAAATGTCCTCAAAGTGTCGTGTCAAAGGACTTCCTGAAGGAAGAAACAGTGTCTATCGGCATTCAGATTCTCTCCCTAAAGCCGTCAAATTCAATTTTACCTAATGGAAAGGAAAGCAACTGGGCCTGGAACCATGGGTATGACGGAAGTGTCACTGTTCCCGGAAAATTTCTTCAACAGATCAGTCCAGATTTGATAGAAATTCTTGAAGCAGACGCACAAAAGAAAACTGTGGGTTATGGTTTCCGTAGCGATGAACTTCGAGAGTTGGCAGCAATGATGCTTGGAACACTCTCACCAGAGGACATACGAAAGATCGTTGAGATCAAGCGAACAGACGACTTTCCTTACCAGCTTCACAGTGAGTATAACAGGCAGACATCCTAGGCAGCGTCGATCAGTGATTCTGTGTCCCTAGGCAAAGTGTGTTTTGCGTGCGAGGTTGAAGGGCCTGACCAAGATGTTCTGAGTAACATCAATTCATGCCCTCGATGTCACGCGATCTTTGAAACGCCACCCAGGCTGCTGGCACATGTTGCGGCCCACGTCTTATATGACCCTTTTGTCAACAGGGAGGATGAACCTTGTGGCCTCTGTCTGTCACCAAGCCCATTGTGCTGGATCGTCTTGAGGAAGAATAAGGAATCTTTCACCATTGATTATCCGAATTCAACCTGTGTAAGACTCGTAAAATTCTCCTATGCTGCTGCCAGTCAACCATCGCCCTCAAATCCATGTGCTAATGTCCCAGTCAAATGCCCTCGGTGTCCCAAGGGGGCTAACTCGGTGTGGAAGTATAATATGACGGCCCACTATGCCAAGAAACACTCACCTTTACCACCTCCACCCGAGTTTCAAATCTCAGATTTTGAGCTGGAAGGACTGAAGATGATCTGGAATGGCCGACAGGTAGCAAACCGAGCAGAAACTAGGAGAAGGAGATTTGTAGCGGCGAAGTTGGACATCTCTGACGCCCACAGCTCCCGCCTTTCCCTTCGGTATGTCTCACATTATATTTTATAATGGATTTAACATGGAACTATCTACCAGTACTACAGACTTAGAAGAGTCTCCACCGGAAAACTCACAACTTGTCAGTGATATTGGCAATAGCGGTCCAGATACGGCTCACGACACCTTGCCGGCTTCCCCCACCCAACTCCCACATGATCCAATTACTACAGCTGCAATGCTACACACTCCCGATGTGGCCGACGCCTCTGTACAACCAGCAACATATGCCAGTGGCCGCCCAATGCGTTTCGCACCCAAACGGGCTACCGGTCTGCTCATGTGTTGTACTTCTCAAGTCTCCCCAGCAGAGATCGAGGATGGCTCAGCAGTCGTTAGGTGTACTGCAGCTGGATGCGAGACTGTCTGGGTAAGTTCAGCATATGGGGAATGCAGCCGTGACTCATGAATATCCTTAGTTCCACAGGTTATGTCAAGGCCTCGGTACTTACATACCGCCAAATTGGACTTGTGGGTCCCACAATGAGCAACGCAACACGAAGCGGGCGCGGAAATAGAGTATAATCATCGTGTCTTAGACCTGTATATACAATATTTGAATCAAAATTTTTGACATGGCAAAAACTTGTTTCGACACGTCAAGCGGACCCCCCTCCCTAGCCTCGGCTTCGGTATTTCCCGAAGTGACACCCCTTGAAGGGTTCTTTACTCTTTACCCTCACCCCGATGTCAAATCATAAGCTCCATACAGCCTAGATCTCGACATTCTGAGGACTGAGTCAACCCAGGCCAGCACCCCAACTGGCCTTACAGCACGCAACTTTCTGTTGCCTTCCGTTAAATGACCCACAGTTATGAAGGTGCCCGGGCCCCTGCCCATGCGTCTTCACGCTTGCATCCTATTCATTTCCTTCATTGTAATTGGCAGATTCAAAAAAAATATCATCATTTTCATATTTGTGTAAATTCATCAAACACGTGATTTTTTGCGCTCATCTCAGAGGGGTTTTGTAGGTTCACTGCCAAGGTCTGGAGGTGATTTTCATGGAACACTACGGTATTTACTTGCAATTCCCTTGTGAGCTACTTGCCACATACCCTACTGCATCACCCCGATGCCTTGAGACCGATTTGCTCATTCTACAACCCAGACCAGCGAACTGGACCTGCAAATTTAATCATCGGCATCCGAGTCTCAGAAGACACAATTGCAGTCTTCGAAGACGCTGGAGTGATGGGGGTGTTTTGACTTGGACCATTGTTCTCGACCTCCCACTTGCACTACTTTTCAAGTTCTCCAGATGGCCCTTCAGATCACGAACTGATTCATGCCTCAGCACACTATTACCATTGAAAGTCCATTTCTTATGTCTCTCAGAAGGTGTGGCCATCTGAGGTATCAACTTTAGGACAGAAATCCCGTTTAATTTGTATGTCACCCCAATAGCCAATCCCCAAACCTCACGTCTAGCGCTGATGCGCGACAGTATCCAGAAATGCAGAATGGCGCGTATTCTACTGTATTGGCATATAATTTTTTGAATTGAAAAAAAAAAATCCCAATATTAATATTTACCCATTTTGTCAATCAATTTTTTACGAAAGGGTTCAATACCCTTTCACTTTTCGACTGCCACTTTCTCACAAAACCGCTGTAGGTGGAGGTGATTTCTAACAAAAGGTGCCATCTGGCCAAGTGGGAGCGGGTCCGGATTGAGTGCTTTGGATGTTTCAACACCCGGGTCTACTCCGCTTCGGGGACCACGGGTGCGGAGGCTTCTCCGCTTATGTCTGAGGATGAGTCTGAGAATGTTTGACACGTCAACTCCGACGGGCCTGAACTATAGATACGCAAGTTACTCTGGAAGCGATCTACGACTGAAGCTATGATAAATGGCTTAGCTTTCGAGAGACTCGCCAAGCACAAGGCAATTAAGCATGAGTCCAACGCGCGTTCCATCACGGAACTTCCACAAAGGTACAAGTGCCAATGCATATATTTCCAACACAGTACATCAACAGGAGTCAGTCATAAGGTGTGATTAATGTAAGTAACAAAATGCTTGTTGAAACGCAAAGAAAATGTAGAGAACGAGAATCTTTAGGTTGCGCCCTCTGACCTCTGCTGCTCAGCCATGATTTTGTCTGATTGATGAAGAACGAGCTGGGATGTCAGGAATGCTCCGTGTCCCGTCAGGTTCCAAGTTTTGGAGCCGCTTGTCTATTAAGAATTCGCTGTCCCTAACAGTCTGTGCCCATTTCTCCAAATAGTTGACTGTGGTGGAGGTCATCGTGACTGTACACGCTCCAATGAAGATTGCCGGATAGATCGTGCGAACTGTTGAAAAAGATTAGTTGATGCAACCAATACATCGAGTAAGTAACACACTGGACAGGTTGTCTGGGACTTCGACATGCAAAACTTTCGTTAGGGAGAAAGGTATGATCCCAGGTGCGGCAATCATGAGAAGGAGACCAGAAATCACGGGCCACACAAAGTGAACCATTGCATGATGGAAATCAAGGAAGGTAACACCATTGTCAACCATCTAGATGAATGTATTAGCAAGCCAGAAATAATGAATACGCGCATATACTCACCGCGTCCCAGGCGGCTACAATAGCTGGCGGATTCTGCAGTCGTGCCATCCGAAGGGCGATATTGAAGAGAACAAGACCAAGAGCCCAATCTTCCCAGATGTAAATTGTCGGAGCACGTTGTTCCATTGGGAACAGTCCGATACGAATAGGGAGGATGATGTAGAGTTCGACTACAAGAGCCAGAAGGAGGGGTATGATAAAGCCAAGCGCAATTGTCAGGACAGCAAGCTTCCCAATCCACACGACACCATGCCCAATCTCTGTATAGAGTGGATCAACACCTAGGGCCGTGGTGTCAGGACGCGCGTTTCCGAGCTGCCATGTAGCCCGCCACGTCTGTCGCAAGTCCTGAACCCCCTGATACTGACGAACAACAAAGCGTCCGAATGTGATGAGCGCCCAGAACGATGAAGCACCAATGATAAATGAGTATCCGTCATGCGTAGCATGACCAACGAGGCGATCCAAGAGCAATCGACCGAATAGGATGGGAGTGTCGACCGCGACAGTGGCGATGCCGACACTTGTGAGCCACAGATACATTATGAAAGCCATTATTCGATATTTGAAATTAGGGGGGAGATAGAGAACCGTATAATCGTCTGCTACAGTACGGTGGGCAGCAAGGGCAGCCGCATCTTGTACTTCAATGAGCCTTCTGCCTTCGTCGTCTAGCGGGTTGCCATTTTCGTCAGTGGTTACGAGCATCTGACGTTCATTTTCCGGGAACGCGATACTGTCACCAGCAGGAGCACGCACGAATGATCCATCGCGAACAGGGGCTGGTTGATTTGCTGCATGAACTGCGGCCCATGGTCTATTCCGGATAAGCGGAAGACGCCGCCATGAGAAAACTGATTGTTGCTCCTCTTCAGCAACCCGTTGACCAAACATGTATGAGGTGAGCCTCAGCTCATGTGCAGCGTGTTCCCACCAAATGGTCGTGGCCCGGACTAAAGTGTCACGAACATTGACAGATTCGATGATGGCTGGGGCCACAATGTGAAGAAATAGTAAATCGATTGGTATTTCACTAATAGGGTTCCTATTCGCAACGATAGTCGATGAGAAATATGTCAACCAGAGTTAAGTAGTTCTGAATCATGACTTACTTTGCATCCCAACGCAAGGGAAGAAGCATGTGAAATGGAGTCCAGAAATAACGCAGATAGTAGATCGCCGCGCCTACTCCACCAAGAATTACGAAAGAATACATCAAAGCGCTCACACCTAATTTCCTCAGCTGAGAAAGGGCGGGGCGGTCGAGAATATCTCGAATGGGATGGAACGAGGGGTCAGCAGGATCTCTATGATCATGTGTCATTGCATTCTCGAACATGATTCCCAACGATATTATTTAACGTACTTTATAAACCACATGGCACCCTTACGCATTAATCCTCGACATGCCGCGAGAAGCATTGCAAATTGATACATGACTGCGAGAGCTGACATTCAGCGTAAAACAAAGGACTCGTTAACAGACTCACACATGGTGCCAAGCATCCAATGGAAGAAGACAGCCGTCAAAGGGACACTGGCACAGTACTCAAGCCGGGTCCATATTGTGGCATCCTTAAAGAGGGGCAAGGTCGAGATGTCCAGTATGATCCCGCAACCAAAGGGGAAGACAACAAGCTCGATTAAGATGAACACTGCAACCTGTCGACTGATGTCAGACTCTGAGTCGACGCCATCAAGGGTCGGCGTACCTTCACAACTATCAATTGTTGTGTAATGGCGCTTCTTACGAACGTTGAAGCTCCGGAGTATAGAATCCCGCTTGCAAGGAAACTACCTCCGAAACCAAGCAAGGCGACGTAACCTAGGAATACAGAAAAGAGCTGTTCACTTGGTCCAGCCCCAGTTGCCAAAGCCTTCCATCGAGAGGCCATGACCCGGCCATAAGCGCTGTAAATCTCCCTGGCCCATGCCCGTCCAGCTAAAAGGGCGGTCTTTGACTGAACCGGGATGTACGATTCAAAGTGATCCGATAGTCGCATGAGCAGCTGGTCAATGTGGGAGGTCGAGTATGCGAGAGGAAAATTTTTCGAACCAGCGGACGCCAAGATTTGCTTGAGTCGGTTAGAAACATGGTCGTAGATGGAATCCAGGCGGACTGCTGAATCCGGGGTATGAGAAGCCCGAAGCTTCCACACCTCCGATAATACCCCGAATAGATGCGTGGATGCTGGGCGAAGGAACCATAGGAACACGTCCACAATAGGATCCGTGGCAAGGCGCACGATACGAATTGGTAAATGAAGAACAAATAGCAATCTACGTGGTTTCATCTAAGGAAGTTGAGTTAGGAGGGAAGTATCCAACTCCATGCTGCTTACTAGGTTGAGAGCTAGTGATCGTCCGATGGTGAAGGGAATCCAGACAGCTCCACCGATCGTCATATCCAAAATGAGGATAATCAACGCGACCTAAAAATGCACCCGGGG